TTGTGGTAAACAGTTATTGAAATTAAATACAAAAAAATCAAGCTTGCAGGTTGAATATATAAAATGCCCGATTTTACATGTGTACTTTAATGGTGATAATCAGTGCATAAAAGTTAACATCGTTAATAATAATTGCGTAAATTTGAAAGGGTTATCTGTTTGTAAAATCTTGAATGAATAAATTTACGGAAAGGTAATGTAATTTTCATAAGAAATGCTTGACTTGTGCCTGTCTAGTTCAAATCATTGATTAAAGTATGTTGTAAGTTATGTAATCCTTAAAATTTTATGCAAGAAAGATTAACGTTTTCTTTACTCTGTTATTAAAATATGCAAACATAATTATTTTTTGCAGGCACCTTCTCATATTGGCTATGCATAAAAACGTTTTAACGTGAGACCTTGATTTTAAATGCGGCATAAACAAAGTTTTAAATGTAATAAACATTTTCTCTTAAAAGCCCATAGTGCTTTTGGATAGAACATGCAAAAATAATTAATATATATACTCTTTGAGTTGGATAGAATATGCACGACCTATGTTCCCTTAAAGGCCCGGTTTATTTTGGATGACCATGTACTCTTAAAGGCCCATGGTGAATTTGAATAGAATACACAGATATATAAGCAACTGTACATGTGCGTTACAAATTTTTACAGGAAGCTACTTAAATACTTATTAAATTTCAAGAAACCACAACATTTCTGCAAGATGCCTGAAAAAGTTTGTTAACACAAATTTGTGTGGCGAAAAAGAAGAATAATCTCCCTTTGGCATAAATATTTTAAAGTAACGCCCACTTTTAAAAGCAGTTCATCTAATGAATGTTTATTTTAGCCGGAAACAATGCTCGGAAAGGATTCGAAACGCTTGATCTATAATGCTAATACATACCTTTTTCGTGTGTGAAGACCACGTGACTTCAAAAGTGACAATAATTCACCATGTCAATGTCTTATATCATTTGTTCCCACGTATATTTCAAAATTGCTCTACTGCCTTACTTTTTCCCGTTATTATCTTTGGGTTTTTCAAATTATTTACACTCTATTTGATCTTTGAAAAGTGAATCTAAATCAATTTTCAACATTGTATAGGGGGGATTTATTAGCGACCATGAGTGAAAGTGCTGTAAAAATGCAAAAGAAATGTTCAAACTATTTGGGTCGTACACGTGTGTTTATCAATGGTTTAAAGACAGGAATAACATGGTGGTGACATCTTTTCGATTCTTTGTATTGCAAAAATATCGGAAATAGCTGGGGAAGAAAACTTTACCATATTATTTTGGTTAATACTCTGACACAACATTAAATATAAAGTCGCTGACCCAAAACTTTGTCACAGAGAATGTAAGCGGTCATTTTCAAGGCAAGGTTCATAGCCATGTCATAATATTTTGTTGTTTTTCATAAGCGAAACTTAACTCAAAGTGTTACGTGATCAAATGTCCGATGTCATAATTTTGTCATCTGTCGATATATTAATTCTTTTATAGACCTTTTTTAAGACGCGACCCGTTGCAATATCATTCTTATGTTGATTTAAATAAGTCCCTTATAGTTTCTTATATTCATGCATTACCCTGAATGCATAAATGCATAAAAGTTCAAATTAATTGCTGATATTCACTTTGAATCGGTAATTTATTTAAATTTTAGCTTCTAAACTGTTGAGATTGTTTAATACTGATAAAAACTATTCTTTCGGAATCGCTTTTTTGACCTACACTGAATACACATGCGCGAAATGCTACTTCCGTTTCTAAGGAAATAACGTAATGTAAAAAAGGTCAATATTAAATCGGCATTTAAATTATGCCTATATATCTAAGAAGACTGAGTAGATTTTGATCAAATTTTACAGGATTTAGTCTTCGGTGGTCCTCTACAAATGAATACTAGTGAATAAGCAGCTCATTCGAGTTAAAATTAATGTTATGTTTAAAACCCTTTGCAAGAAACTCATAGCAGTCCAGAGATTACAGATTTGATATGCAACATATCTTAAGGGTAAAAGTTTTTATTTATCTTTGTCTATATAATAACATGTATGCCGTAATGTCAAAACCGACTCAGCCCTTTAAAAACGTTTTAGCTACTTTCCTCCATATTATATACTCAGGTAAGCGATATATTAGTAGGCCAGTCTGATATTTATCAGCTACGCTTCAAGCAAAACATCAGATGATCTGAGCTTGTTTTTTGTTTTTTTTTGTTTTTTGTTTTGAAACGTTATATGTATCAGTTTGACATGGGTTTAATTTGACATACTAACATCAGATGTTTGGTATATGAAGGTCACTTAAAAATTAGATCAGCAAAATAACAAGTTTTATGAGTTAGAAACTCATGTTTTCGATCTGCTTATAGTGTTCATATCGTCACCTTAGTGCAAGAACGGATTAAAACCTAATATTATTTAATAGAGTTAACCCGTTACTGCACAAATGTGATAATGTACATTGTAATTTGACGAGGAACAGCTATTTTGATGAATTTAGCTTGTTTTTATAGAACTTTTGAGAGACTTATATATGTTTGATAAGTTGGCATTTGGTTAGAGTCAAACTGACATCAGGTTGGCGTTACATTGACTTAAGTCAAGGTGAAATTATGTTGGGTCACACTGGCATAATGTTGTGGCAAAATGGCATACGGTTGTGGCAAAATGGCCTAAGGTTGAGGCAAAATGGCATAATTATGGTTGTAGTAACATGGCATAAGTATGACACAAAATGGCATTAGGTTGGATAAAATGGCATTATATTGAAACAAACTGGCATTATGTTAAGTGAATATGGCTTCATTCATTTTGTTCAGTCAATATTAAAAATTTTTGTGGATTCGCAATTGTGTTAAGTTGAAGACTTTATGTTTGGTTGTCGTCATTCGAATTTCTTTGATAAATATGCAAAACATAATGCTAATTTGACTAGTTATCTTGACCCAACATTATGTCATATTGACTTAACTTCATGTCACACTGACCAGACATAATGATAAATTGACTCTAACTTATACTAAACTGTCTAAACACCTTTATACAACATAATTTCACATTGGCTTAAAATATTGTAAATTTAGCCATATATAATGTCAAATTGACTCAACCTGGTGCCGACTAGACCCATGTTTATGTCATTTTAACGCATGCCATATACAGGTCTGACCCATCGAAATGCCATGTGGGTTTAACTTTATGTCACTTTGACAAAATAGAATGCAAAATTGACCAAATACGATGCAAAGTTGACTCGACCTAAGTTCCTCTTGACTCAACATAGTGAAAACTGGGGAAAACATTCTAACTGACATAACGCCAACTTAACTCAACAAAATTACAACTGATCAAACAGGCAGTTATGGCGTTCCATATTATATTTTGATGGTTTAAAACTTTGAATACATGTATACTTAATCTGTTTAATGTAAGGACCAATCGTTTGACCGTTGTCAGAAAAACGACAGTAACAACAACGAAGACGGCGACGACGACGACGACAACAACAACAACAACAAAAAGCAATCATAGCGCTCAATATTCTATATGTATTCAAAATGATAATAGTAGAGACTGTTAGACGTTACTTTCTTTACCGAATCCAGTTTCTGTTTCGGGAGTGTAAGAAATATTTGAATTTGAAGTCAAGCGTTTCATAACTTCCTTGAAAATTGTATTGAATATCTTTTCACTGAGTTTTTTGGGCAAATACAATCATGTACTTTTGTTTATGTAAACATGTCAAAACAGAATTTTCAACTGTTAGCCTGACGGGTAATCAGTTTTTGATATTAAAATATTGCGTTAAATTACTCTTGCCTTGTTTTATAACTTAATGTCGCAAAATGGCCCTCTTCACATTTGGCGGACATAAATTTCAGTGTAAGATATTCTTACGAAAGTGGAACATTGTTTAGATAAAATGTAAAGTGTAAACACACGGAAGTCAGGGACTTAGCTATCGTTCCATTCATTTTAAAAGAAAATTTAACAAAATTTGAGATAAGATGACCTCTATTTTTCTCGCTTAAACCACGATCTGGGTTTTAATTAAAGTGTGATGGCCTATAATACAATAGATAATTATGTTGATAGTATTTAATATCAGACATCACAATAAATCACGAAATAATTATACATGAACATGAATTTTGTTTGCAATTGTGAGATACATGATTAGATGTAACGCATATTTATATAACAGATACTAGAACAAAATATTGTTGATCATCATATAAATGTTCATACTAACTCACTTAAAACTATTTCAACATTTTTGTTTTAGCAATATTAAATAGGAATATCCAAATGATACATTTCTATTGTTTTTATCAATATTTGAAATACTTATGGAAATTGTGCCCCTTTGTGGACCAATCCACTTTAAGCTACTTGTGACCTTACTTGACCCGTGGGATATACATCATATTGAGTATAAAAGCTATAGATAACCTACATCATAATTATAATAATTAAGCCTTGGAGTGTTTTCAGTGTATGTGACAATATTAATTTGGGGGTTATAACCTTTGAGTTTGACAACCTTTGTTGTTATGATGGTCTACTTAGTATCATCTTTAAAACATTATGTATACATTTATCTTGGATTCAAAAAAAAAAACAAGGAGATCCGACGAGGAGGAGGTTACCTTTATTCAGTTCGAAAAAACAACAAATTGATTTATTAATCTGATTATGCGTAGTCATGAAATAACTTTCATCAGCCAGCTCTTGACCATGCGAATACATATAAAGCGAACTGACTCAAAAGTATTTCTAAATATTTATGAACACAAACGTATTTTTCATTTCTGCCTATCCATGAAAACCTTGACTTAATAGATTAAGGCAATCTGATTAAAAATTTTGTGGATGTGCGTATCTTTGTATTTAAGATAATTTTATAAACGTTTGTAGATTAAACCTTACATTTATCTTATCTCCCCTGTGCATTTATATAATGATAAACATTTCTGACAAATGACCAAAAACAAAGTAACATAAAAGGTGATCTAAAACTGTAACAAGATTTAAACGTTTTGCCACCAACGTTTATTTAACATTTTTGCGTCTACAGTCATTGCGCGTGCCCAGGGCCCAATTTGCTGATGAAATTAGCGCGCCATCTGTCGACGTGTTGTCATTTGAAAAAAAATCTTCCCATGATTCAATACTGAAAGGTAGAACGCTCCAATCGGATGAGTAAATCGAACGGGCTTTATTTGGATTGCTTAAGCGGAGTATTCGCTGAAATGTAATAATGACGCGAAATTGGGTAACGCTGATATGAATGCGTAAAAACAAAATAATTTTGATACTAAAATGGAGAAAAAGATTGTGTTGAGTAGCTTTGCTATATTTGGAATATTAATTACACAAACAAGTACGTATACATATGTTTAATACTCAGAATTCTCTATCAGTTTCATTTTAATTAATATTATAAAGTAAACGCCCGAAATAATTCAGGGATATAAACTTTATATATTAAAAGTACACTGTTCTAATTCATCCACTGAACGAATTTACCTTATTTTTACGGATATTGATCGGAAGATTTATATGTCGTATAAGATTATCTTATACTTAATGGCTAATTTGATTAATGGGAAATATTTCACGTTACTAATGAACATTCATTTTGAGGAACATAATTTCTAACATGGACATTCCCTTTTCTTTCTTTTTTTTTAAAAAAGTCTTAACATATCTTTACATAGTTAATCAATATTAAGAAATCTTTGTGATACTGAGCAGTACTGTTATAATGGCCGACTATTTTCTGTATCGATCTTAATTTACCACATTATTTCCTCTACAGTATTACTCACCTGGTATTGATTTTTACCTGTAGCCATACCAATATATAAATGTCATATTTTTTCGAGCGAATAAAATCATACCTTTAATTGCCTTTTTCTTCTCCGCATGATTTCAGAAAAAAATGTAACTTTATTGACTTTATTTGACTGGATGGGTATAGATAAAACATAAACATTATGTAAGATTGTTCACGGGTGGGTTACATTTTTATGTAGAACTTTTATAATAAATCGTATATTTTTGACGACTAAGATTTTATTTGTTTGCTACTGCAATCTTTTACCCGACTGTTTTTTTAATACATATCTTAAAGCAGCCCGCCTCCAGATTCATGCTTTTTTTCATAAAAAATGAAAAAGTATTAAAAAGTTAATTATTGTGAAGTGAACAAAGAAAATAAGTTTCTCATTGAAAAACAGCACTAACAACCCATGTAAATAAGTAAAAAAAGTCAAAGTATGCGAAAAAAAAGCACTAACTGCGTTATTAACGCAGTACAGAAATATAGTGAAAAATTACGGAAACGTATAGCGACCACCCCTATATGTTAGTTAAAACAGAATTTTTGACAATTTATTTATTACATATTATATACCTAACCAATTTTTACAAACTTACTTGATCTGAAATATTTATCTAGTAATATCTATCGCCTCTGAATGTTAGTAAAACAGAATTTTAGACAATTTATTTAACACATGATATCTATTTGACCAATATTTTAATTGTTATTTGATATTGAATATATATTTTTTACTCAATCTGCTGTTAATATTTCTGAATTAAAATTTATGTGAGTTTTTTCTGTTCATTTATATGTATTAGTTATATATATTTGAGGTGTTTTTATTATAATATAACATATTTTACAGTTTATATTTGATAATGAGGACAGAACAATCCCACGCAATATATAAAGGAAGCAATTAAATCAAGTTATGTTGTAAATCATATATAATACGTATTTTTTCGTAATCTATCGTACGTTTTTTATCTTATAATGCAAGATAAACTGCTTTTAACTTTCTGACATAATGAAAAAATAATACACTTACATCTTTTTAAATATGTATTTCTTTCCTCAAATCATATTTACATATAACAAACATACTATAATACTATAAAAAATGTCATTTGATATATATCATATAGGGGTGGTCGCTATACGTTTCCGTAAAAAATACTGCAAAATCGGTCATACTTTTATATCGAATCTTTTTACTTTTCTTAAAATCTCAGTATACTATTTCCTCAAGTCTGATACAGTATACTCTAAATAGTTTGGTTCATCTGGAGGAATAAATCATTAAGGAAGCTGACGGGATGATAGTAGTTTTGCCGTAAAAAATGAGTGAATTTTGTGAAATCGCGTGTTTTCTGGGAACGATGTCTAAATGTACACGGAAATTGTAACCAGGACCCAGAACCTTGGAATGGATAGCAATAGAAATGAGTCAATTGTCATTGCGTTATTAATTAATTTATTTATTTAGTTTAGCGCCAAAACAGTAGTGATATGTCCAGCTTGCTTTACAGGGACATTTAGCCTGTCTGTCCCCGCAATGATGTGTATTTGAAAACATTCGAGAGGAAGTGAATTTTGAATACGTGTACAATGTATATAAAAGAAATTGATATTAACACGGATTGTGCCCAAAATTCGCGATCGAGTACTTTAAGCTTAGTCCGGGTTACACGTACTTAATCGATATTTCTAAGTTTTCGTTAACAGCGCATGTCATCATATAGTACAGTCAACGGCAAAAACAAACATATTGAAACAGCATGAATCAATGCACTGTGGAAAAAACTGAATTTTGTATTTAATGTTTTGAAAAGTGTTGGTATGAACATATAACAGGATCTTAAATATTTATTTAGTTTCGAGAACCTTATCACGTGGGATTAATTGTCTGACACAAACCACATCCCACAGTTTAAGCAGATACGACTTTTATGTTTTGCTTGAGATATCGTTAGATTGTGTACAGTTTGATATAAAAAATTTCTTCCTTCTTTAACGAATGATTAACTCTATCGCCCTTATACAGTGTATTACGTACTTTTTTATTTAATTAGTTTATAGCAAATCTATTATATTTCTAATGTTAAAGATATTTTTTACTTTTCAAAAATGATTATGTATTTATGTGGCTATATGTTATAATGTAAGTGGCTTATAATAAAAACAGAAAATATACGCACAAAAAAAGAAAAAAAAACTGGAAACAGCCTGCAAACTTTTTCTTTTTGAGAAAATATATACAATGTACCTTTTTGTCTTTTCCCTGTATTTTACAGATTTATCAACTAAATTAATCCCAAATGAATGATCAATTACAAATGAATGAGGTTGTAGGATTGATTGTATCTCGTAAATAGCAGATAAACCTTCTCGAAAAAAATCAACAACAACATATCTCAAGGGACGCTATCCTGCTTTCATTTGAAGAAGCCAGCTTAAACCTTTTGTGTAAATACATGTATAACATCCATGTCGGGTTCTTGCTTTAAACAATATTTATTTTCAATAAATTGCTAAAATAATGTTACATACAAAGTACACACAAATATATGAAATATTTACAGAGAGAATTTCAAAAAAAAACAAAAAAAAAAACAACAACAATGTATACCGAAATTAATAAGTATACTTTACAGATAATCTAGAACTTGAAGCTTATGCTAAGCCTCGCTTCTGATTATGATGCAAAGCTGTTATGATGGCGAAAAAGATAGAGAAAAATAAATCGTGAGTTGGTTCATTGTAATTATTAGATTATAAGTGTCAGCGGGTATATACAATTCAGAAGTAAATATTTAAATAATTACCTTCAGAAAGAAAGGGAGAATGGTTTATGCAAGGGTCAAGGGTCAAGTCAGGGTGGGGTATTAATCATTTGAAACGGCCTGTACGTCGTGAACCTGTGAGCTATTTCTTAAACATATTAACCTAGACCTAAATAGACTTGTTTCATTTTTCAATCTGGACAACAGGCTATGCATGCTAAGGAAATTTTGTATGGACCCTTTTTCTTTCTTTCCTTCCTTTTTTCTTTCTTTCTTTCTTTCTTTCTTTATTTCTTTCTTTCTTTCTTTCTTTCTTTTTGGATCTTTCTTTCTTTCTTCTTTCTTTCTTCTTTCTTTCTTTCTTTCTTTCTTTTTGGAAGGTCTAATAAGAATGATTTTTAGACACATTTCTTTCAACATTAAAAGCGTTTTCGCTGGCTTTAATACAGTGTATTAACTGTTATGTTTGATTTCCTTATACGTACATGTATAATATATACATGTACATAGATGAATTCCTTTAAGTTTTGAAAGTAAGCCTTGATTTGGAGGAGGGTGACTCTGCATGAAATAAATGTGATCAGGCTGGCTAATTTACATGTCTACCTACGCACGTTTCTCTGTTTCTGTTATCTGTACATCAAACATTCAGTTTTTGTTTAGTTTTGTATTTTACAATCAATTTGTGTCACATACTCTATGTTACCACTCTTACAATGTTTAGCGGCTTGATAAGAAAATGTAATGAAAGATTAAAGAATTTGTTGACATTTTGTGAAAAAAGAAACACTCCCGCGCCTTTTTCTTTATTCTCCGACAATTACATTAATTTAGTTTACAAAAGAAAGTTGAGGACTTCGAAATATCTTCAATATATTAGTGGAGTGGGGCCCATATATTTTATCAAAATACATGCATAGTAATCAGACGTGTGAACAATCGCATTTTTTCGGCCCTTCCCGCCAACTTCGGATATACTGGTAATACAAGACATATTGTGTATTTTTGCGATCAGTCTTTTTTTAATCTAAAACCTCTAAAATTTGCAATAAATGACGTAATGTCAAAAGTTGCATTTTTATGCACTATTTAAAATATTGATAAAAAAGTAGAAATGTATCATTTGGATATTCTTATGAAATATTACTTGAAAAAAAATGTTGAAAAAGTAAAGTGCTAAAATATGAACATTATTAGGATGAATAATAAAACTTTGTTCTAGAACATTTTAATATCTGCTAAATAGATATACATGTATGCCATATCAAATCATGTAACTCACACTTGCCAACAACATCTATATATACATGTATTTCTTTCGCGGTGTGTTGTTTGATTCTAAAAAAATATATCATTTATTGTAAATTACAGGCCTACCATTATAGACCAATTCAAGATTATGTGCATGTTTAACATATAAACGTAAAATAGCTGTAAAACCTATACTCTATTGAAATTTAAATTAGCATGCAAATTCCATTCATTACTTTGAAAATGAACCTATTTTTCTAATGGCGATGAAGTTAAGATTTAAGTCAATCTGATTCTCGAACTTATCGTCTCGTTCGCTTTGACTATAGTATATAATAAGTCTGATGATTCCTTTTCCACACTTGGTCAGTGGGAGCCCGATAATTTTAAGTCCAGTTGACATTATATACAAGGGTGACTTCATTGTGTGTGAGGAATGTTTCTTTTGGTTAGCAAGCTAAGTCAGCATTAACTTTCACCAGCCTCCTACACCCTCAGTTTTGATTACTTTCTTTGAAA